TAGAAATAACAAAGACTAATTAATTTTTCGACTGTAAAAATAATTTAGATCAATAGTATACTAATTATTAATATTAAAAAGATTAGTTCATCTTTTGGTAGATGAAGAGGCAAGACCATTTTGCTTTTCTTTTCTTTTTTTTTCTTTTCTTTTTTTTGGCAGCATGTTAATTAGTAATTTATTATACCTTATGCATTAATTAGGTTATCCATTTAATTATTTAAAAATTACATAATAAAATTACTTGAAAATAAAAAAATACATAAGGTGAATTTTATATTAATGAATAATTGAAAAGTTTCATTTTACCTTATAATACAATGATTAAACATTAAACATTTTTATTTTTACTTTTATTTTAAAAGAGAAATATACATTTTATTAGAAAAATAAAAGATTGTATTAAATACTAAATAGTATTTCTTCATGTTCTTCTATCTTCCTACCCACCTATATATAAATCTCCACTTTTCTCTACACCAGTATATTATATTCTCCTCTTCATTTCTTCTCTTTTTTTATTAATATGGTGAGTTATAAATATTATTTTTCTTTTTTTTTTTCCTATTTCATATTGTATCTAAACTATTTTCCTTATTAGTTTTATTATTTTTTATGAATTTTTTATAGAAAATATGATGATTTTTTTAAAAGAATTTTGTAATTTTATCTAAAATTTATGCATTCTTTTCTTTTTAGATTATTATTCATGATATTGGAGTCCATCTAAACAATAATAGTATTAATTCATTCACTGAACTAAACAATAAAGGTATGAATTTGAAAAAAATCAAGTTATATGAAAATATTGCTCTTTTTTTAAGAGATTTTGTTTTTTATTTTATTCATATTATACTAATATTAACTTTTTTATCCTTTTAAATATAAATTCTACTTCACATCTCTTCTAAATTGTATATATATAATATTATTGTCATATATAGTTGGGAATATGCACTCAATTACACTAAAATCTCATTCAAATAACTTCCTTTTTGTAATTTTAATTCAAGCACTTATATTAATATATTAAAATAATTTGTAATACAAGTTAAAGGAATAAAATAGAAATGGACAGAAATGATAGGAAATTGAAAATGAGAGAAGGGACAAGAAAAATAACCATAAAACAAAATTTTACTAGTTAAGCAATTATAAAAGAAAGAGTTGGTAAAGACTAATGTAACAAAAACAAAAAAAGAGAGAAAATGGTTAAATACTTTCTTTTATTTTATAATACTTCATGTAGATCTTTCATATTAAAATACATATGGTTTGATTTTTTTATTAAAATAATAGTTGATATTTTTTAACCTCAATTTTTAAGTATTATGAATTTGATTAAATAAGGATTAAAAATAACTAAGGAAGATGAAAAAAAAAAAGTATAAGGTAAAATTTATTTTATTATTAAATTAACAATTAATAAAATTTATATATAAAAAATGAAAATCAAAAGGCAAAATTTTCTTAGATTAATAGTCTATATCTATATCTATCTATCTATCCATATGTATATATTATATAAAATGTCACACTTAAGTACTAATTAGGCACTAAAATATATTTTGTTAAAAGTTAAAAAGAAAACATAGTATTTTTACAATAAAACGTAATAGATATACATATCAATAATATTAGTTACCCTTTTATCTTTTCATCTTCTTCTCTTCCACTTTTCAGTTCTTTTCTTACTATTCTCAATTATTTTACTATTATTAGCTTTTATTACATATATAATAAATCAATTAAACCAAAGAAAGATTAATAGATACCTAATTTTTATGGAGAAAAAAAACATATGATTACAATCTCATTTATCATAATTTATAACACTATTATAACACTTTTATTCATTATTTATTTTTATCATTTTTAATTTTTTTTACCTCATGCAAATGTGCACGAGGAAGTGAGGTATAAAAAAGCTTGACAGAGAAAAAGATTTTTTTATATGAATTGTTTGATTTTATTTCATATAGAATTTTTTTTTGTTTTATCAAAAATATTTTTAAAAAAATAGTAGAATATGTATATATATATATATATATATATATATGTATTTGTTTTGAATGTAGATGTAGAAAAGAATGTGATGATGATGATGATGTAAAATAAGTCTTTTGATGAATAAATTAAAAATATGAAAATTTTGAGAAATATCTATATTAGTTCATCGATTTTTATAAATATTAAAATCAGTCAAATAAAATTTAATTCTTATTTATTTATTTATTTTGGATTTCATATATATCCTTTATTTCTATTTTTCTTAACACAAAATTTGAAATTGCTATTTAATAATAATAATAATAATAATAACAATAACATTAACAATAATAAAAATTAATCTATAAATATATACTAAAAACCGTATATATAAACATATGTATTAATGTATTAATACGTACTAAATTATGTATAAATATTTTTTTACAGCATGCTAATTAATTTCTCTTTAGTATATAAAGAGTTAATGCCGTTTAAATATTCTTTCGTATTACCTTGTGCATTAATTTCTCTTAATAGATGAAGACGTAAGACTGTTTAAAATATGAATTTACATAAAATATAATAAAAATTAAAAACCTATATGGCAAAGAGATTGGTTCATTGATTTTTCCTTTTTTTGCAACATGCTAATTAATTTCTCTTGATATAAGAAGAGGTAAGGTCATTTAAATAGTATTTTCCTTTGCGTTATCATACAAATTAATTTCTCTAGATAGATGAAGAGGTAAGGTCATTTAAAATATACAAAAAAAATGCTATCCTATGTATTAATTAAGGTATGCATTTATAAAAAAAAAAAAAACTAAAAACTAAAAACTAAAAACTGTAATATAGGTGAAGAAATTTATTCATCTAACTTTTTTTCTTTTTGGCAACATGCTAATTAATTTCTTTTAGTATTTGAAGAGGTCTAAATGATTCTTCCCTTTCCATTACCATATGAATTAATTTATCTTGGCAAATGAAAAGGAAAATTTGTTTAAATATTAAAAACAAAAACAAAAAAACAAAAAAAGGGAAAATGAAAAGACAACTGTCTATTTAAACTCTTTACAAGAAATTAAAATAGAGTTAATATAACCAATCTAAATGAGACTTCAAAACCAATGATTTAAGCAACTTAATGTAATTTAAATAAAATAGATGACAAAAAGTTCAATCCATTGTCTGTAATATCCCAAATTTTCAGGAATTTTATCATTTAAGTTGAGGATCTTTGTGTGAGAAAATATTATTTTGGGGCCTATTAACTAAAATTTTGAAACTTGAGAGACTTAAAAGAAAAAAGGATTTGGATAAGGATCAGCTATTTTTTTTCCTTCTTTCTTCTTCCTTATTCGCGTGTTTCTGCTCATTCTTCTTCTCCCCTGCAGCCGAACAAGGAAGCCCAGCCACCGACCCACACCTCTTGACAAACCGGTAAGAGAGCTTGGTTTTTCCCTTTCTTTTCTTGTTCAAGAACAAGATTTAAGCTTGGAAATCTTTCCCCCTCTGCAGAATTCCAAATATACTCTACTCTGTTCTGCCATCCGTCTGCTACTCTTGCTTATGGGTGTGATTTTTCCAGTTCTGGTAAGGGGAAACAGCCATTAATTCCTCTTTTCTTCCTTAAATTGGCTTGGGTTTACTCTAATTCCTCTTGGTTTTGTTGGAATAGGCCCAACATTTAGTTTGGGCTGTACATAATGGGCCTAGGCTGACACCCATTAGCCCAAAGTGAGGGAGCACTCGTATAAGTATACCCACGTGAGCAGCGCTACGTGGGCCAATGAGATGCTTACATGTACAGATGCATGTCAGCATTTGGGGCTATAAATACCCCCCAACTACCTCCAATGAGGGTAATTAAGCTCTACTCCCTTCTCTCTCTGCAATTACTCTTTGAGAGCCTCTCTCTTTAGAATATTGAGTATTGTTGATTTGAGCGTCGGAGTGTTTTCCCCAAGGAAACAACCTTGAGAATTTCAGGTGTGGAAGCAGTTGAAGACTTCAACAGTGTTGGATTGCGAAGCTGCCCAAACATTTGGCGTTGTTTGTGGGAACTTGAACAAGAAGTTATGTAGCTTAACCTGCTGAAAGACAAGATGGTCCGTACCTTTACTGGAAGTCGCCCTCTAAGAAATGAAATGGATGAGCAAGAGGACACTCAGCTATCTGAGCTCGGCTTCAATGATTTTAGGCCAATGTTGAGAAACCTTTTTGTTGGAGGAGCAGAACAAGAACAACTAAGTGGAACAGATGATGATGAAAGAACACCAACTGGGTATGCAACTTAACCTGAACAATTCCAAATTCCAACAGGAACGAGGCATAGACATCCCAGACAGGGCAATTCACAACATGAACGACCTAAAAGGTCAATAGAGCCTGCTCGGACAACCGAGCTCGAAGAGAGAACCAAAGTTCTCGAAATGGCAATGGGTAAAATCCTTGCTCGTCTGATTCCTAATGACCCCCTAATTCCTTTGTTGAATAGGGATGCACAACCAGCCGCGGTTGTTGCAACTTGAAACTCCCTCGCTCTGAGCAATATAGTAGTGTCGACCAAACCAAGGGGAAGTGGAAAGTTAAATAACGAGCCTAGCTCATCCAATCATAGTGAAGAACTGATGAGAAAGAATGCAGATTTGGAAAGGCAGCTGTGGGACGTACAGAAATCCATTGAAGAGCTGAAAAGCCCCAGGTCACACCAACAGACCCTTGACTTGGATAGTGCCCCACTAAACCTACCCATCACAGCAGAACCATATCAAGAGGGATTCAAAATCCCCCACCTGGAGACATATGATGGCTCGGGCGACCCAGATGAGCATTTGCATACTTACCAGGCTATCATGAGAATCCAAAATGCCAACGATGCCATGATGTGCAAAGTGTTTCCAACGACACTAAAGTCAACGGCCAGGCAATGGTATCATAAACTCCCCAGACACTCTATAGATTCCTACTCCCAGCTCGCTAAGCTATTCTCTAACAAATTTGCGAGCCAAAGAGAGATCAAGCATACAACGACCGAGCTAATGCAGGTTCATCAGAAAGAAAGGGAATCTCTGAGGGACTACATGCAACGATTCAACAAGGCTACTTTAGACATTGATAATGTCCCCGATACCATCTGCTTGTCTACCTTACTACATGGTTTAAAGCGTGGTCGATTTCTAGACGACCTGCTAGAAAACCCACCAAAGACATGGAACGAAGTAAATGACAGGTCGGCTAGCTTCATACTATCAGAAGACTTCCAGTCGTCCAAGCAATGAGCTAATGATAGTGTAATACCCCAAAATTTTGTGCTATTTTAGCATTTAAGTAAGGGTTTTTGTGTGAGGAAATATTGTTTTGGGCTTAATTGCCAAAAATTTGCTAAGCTGAGGGACTTAAAAGTGGAAGAGTTTTGGATAAGGATCAACTTCTTTTCTTTTCTCTTTTTCTTTCTTTCTTCTTCCCCGCGTGCTTCTGCTCTTCCCGACCCTGCTACAGCCACCCGAGAGAAAAAAAAAAAAGAGGGAACCCGGCACCAGCCTTGAGAAAACCGGTAAGAGAGCTTGGAATTTCTCCTTCTTTCTTGTCCAAGAACCTAACTTGGAACCCAGAAATCTTTCCCCTTTGCTGGAAATTCCAGATCTGCCTTGCTCTGCTTGTCTTCACCGCCAGCTGCTAGTGGGTATGGGTGATTTCTGGGCCATTTTTCGGTAAGAACATCCCCTAATTTCCTTTGTTCTTGCTTGAATTGGCTTGGGTTAACTTTGACTGCTCTTATTTCCTTCAATTTTGGGTAGATCCGTGAGTTTCTCCCCTGCACTGCCGCCGGCTTCTCCCCCTTGCTAGGCCCGGTTCTGCAGTTGCTAAATTCTGGTATGAGGGCCACTTCTTTAAGCTCACATTTGTCCATTTATTTGCTGCCTTGTATGTCCGAATTGTGTTGGAAAAATGGGGAAATTCAGGTAGCAATTAAGAGGGGTTTAAGTGTGTTTTGTTGCTTAATTCATGTAGAAAATTTGTTAATTGACTACTGTGTGATTTTTGGAGAAAATCCCGTGAATTAGCTAGTGTTTTGACCGATTTTTGGAAGTGTAGTTACTGTTCAAGTCGTGGTTACTGTTTACGGCACTGTTCATGGGTACTGTTCACACACTGAGAGCCAACAATTAACAGAGATTTAAATGATTAGTTTGTAATATAAGAACAAATTTGGAGATATTTAATCATGTGGAGATTGATAGGAATAGCATCGGGATTAGGGGTGATCCTAATGAAGTATTTAGTTTAAATTTGTGATGGTACGGTATTAATTCTGGATATTTTGATTAGGTTCCCGATCGTTCTGTCAGTTAGCACTAAGATTGAGTGCTCGGTTTTGTGCGAGTGAGGTAAGTAAATTTATGGTAATGCCCGTATAGTTTTTAAAAGCATGTTTTGATTTGTTTTTGAAGTGGTGGCGGGACTAAACCCGTTTTACACGAGCATGACTAATTTGAAGTGAAATGTTTATGTTTTTCATTAAATTGAGCATGCCTACTTGAAAGTGATTGTGAATTGTCCTGACGATTTGAAAGTGATAGTGAATTATGATTTTTCTGTTAACTTCTGCCTGTTTTGTCTCCGGTGTGGTCATGTTATTCGTGACCCTGCTAGTGGGGGAGGTTATAAACGCTAGCACATGTCGACATGTAGTGATAGAGCCGGTTCGTTCAACCCAGCTAGTGGGGGTTATACACCAGCAAATAGTGACCCTGCTAGTGGGGGTTATACACCAGCAAATAGTGGCCCTGTTAGTGGGGATTATACACTGGCTGTGACCTATAGAGGAGACGTCTATTTTGTTCTCGTATTGTATTCGTTTTTCGTGATAACACTTGTTGGCATGCTATACGTTTAATAAGGGCACTCAATATTTACTTACTAAGTTTATCTCATAGTTTTCCTTGTCTACCATTTCAGGAAGCGAAACCGAGGACGGGGAAACCATGGGAAGTGACGAGTTAGAAAGCTAGCCATTTCGAGATTGATATAGATTTTAGAAATAAATCATGATCTTGTGAACTAAAGTGTATTTGGAGATTTTATGATATCAGAGGAATTTTAAAGATTTTATCGTCAGATTTTGGTGGTATCAGATTGTGATATGATAAGTTCCGAGCCTTGTGCACTTGTGGGACCCGTCTCACGAGTGTACGACGTCTATCGCGCCTCGAATTTGGGTTTTGGGGCGTGACAAATAGACAAAGCAAAAGCCATGAACAACCACCAAGGAGAGAGGAAAAGAAAAAGTAGAAAGTCAACGAGCAGTGGGGGAAGCCAGCTGACTTCCCAAAGTATGCCAACTACATTCCTTTAACCTTGCCAAGGTCTCAAAGCCTGGCACAAATCCAGCACTGGATTAGAAGAACCCCACCCCCACTGCATGATTCCCCAAGAGCAGACAAGAGCAAGCATTATGACTACCATTGCGCATACAGTCACAATACAGAAGACTGCCAACACTTAAAGGACGAGCTGGAGTTCTTAGCTCGCAATGGGAAATTAGAAGGATATGTCCAAAAGCCTTATACCCAATAACCAACTCAAACTCACTTTGTGCAGGGGTATGACCGACCTCAGGGGCAGAGATATCTACTTGACAGCACACAAGATGTGTATCAGGACAACCAATATCCTTCTGAGCAAGGCAGAGCATACAGGGGCCATCAGTTCAATAGGCGAGGCCAAGGACACAAAACTGCCACACATAACCAAAAAGACAAGAAAGGGGTAGGCTACGCTAGGATACCCTTGCCCTCTGGCACAATAAACATGATCTCAGGTGGTATACACTCAAGAGGCCAAAGCGCCTAGGGCCGCAAGGCGTATGCCCGCTAGGTGATGACTGTTAATAAGAACTGGCTTTTGAAGCGACCATTCGAGGAAACGGAATGGGAAAATGCACCCATTACATTCAGCGCAGCAGATTATAAGCGAGCAGAGGGAGAGCCCGACAATATGATGCCTCATGCAGATCCTTTTGTGGCACCAGTCCATATAGGTAATCATAACGTCAACAAGGTCTTTATTGATACTAGCAGTTTACCAGATATCCTATATTGGAGCTGTTTTCAAAAGATGTAGCTAAATCCGAGCTCGTTACAAAAGTATGAAGGGCCCATCTATGGATTTGATAATCAACCTGTCCCAATTGAGGGAGTGATTACTCTTCCCATCTATGTGGGCTCAGAACCACGCTTCAGGATGGCTTCCGTCAGCTTCCTAGTCGTCAAAATGGAATCAGCCTTCAATGCCATACTGGGAAGGGCCACCCTCTACGAGCTGAAGGCCGTCATTTCGCAACCTCATCTCTGCATGAAGTTCCCCACTCCTCAGGGGGTAGGAGTGCTCAAGGGGAACCAGAAAATGGCCAAAACCTACTATCAAGATACATTCAAGAAGGTTGAGCTCGTTGCAACACTGAGAGGCTCTTCTGAAAGTCACAGGTTGACTCAGCACGGTCAACAGACAATGAGCATATTAGATATCGAGCACCGACCAGAGGGTGTCGAGCAAAAAGCTGAACCAGTAGAACTAGTGGAAACGGTCCCTTTGAACCCTGACTTTCTAGAAAGAACAATTAAGGTCGACACCAAGCTCGCAACGGAAGAACGAGCAGAGCTTCTAGAGTTTTTAAGGGTTAACCAAGATGTGTTTGCGTGGACTATGGATGAAATGCCTGGCATCCTAGCAGAGTTGATAGTCCACAAGCTCAGCACGGACCCCATGAAAAGGCTGATGGTTCAGAAACGTCGCCTTTTTGGCCTTGAGAAACAAGCTACTATAGATGAAGAGATACAAAAGCTGCTACAGGCAAGCTTCATCAGGAGAGTTGAATACTTTGAGTGGGTGTCCAACCCTGTGCTCGTCAAAAAACCAAATGGCAAGTGGAGGATGTGTATTGATTTCACCAACTTAAATGAGGCATGTCTGAAAGACCCTTATCCTTTGCCAAATGTTGAGAAGCTAGTAGAGCGAGCAGTCGAACATGAGCGGATGAGTTTCCTTGACGCTAGCTCGAGTTATCACCAGGTTCAGTTGCTGTTGGACGACCAGGAGAAAATAGCTTTTTATGCTGGTGACGCAATCTACTACTATGTCATGATGCCATCTGGCTTGAAAAATGCTAGCGCGACATATCAGAAGCTGGTGCAGGTCGTCTTTAAGCTCCCTCAACGCTAGCTCGGGGTATCACCAGGTTCAACTGCTGTTGGACGACCAAGAGAAAATAACTTTTTATGCTGGTGACGCAATCTACTACTATGTCATGATGCCATTTGGCCTGAAAAATGCTGGCGCGACATATCAGAAGCTGGTGCAAGTCATCTTTAAGCTCCAGA